TTTTTACGGAGTCCCCTCTTTACTCTTTTGATTTATGTGGGAGCACTTCCGAGTCACTTCCACCTGAAAAATTAGAGTGTGAGCAGAACTGCTCAAAAGAGAGAAAGAGTTTGCCCTATGTGTGTAAAAGAGTGTTTTCTGTTTACGTTTGTGTATAACGAGAAAAATATGCTCTATCAAATTCGAGGAACATCGACAAATTGAATTTGCTTAATTTTTCAGCTCCAGTAGCAAATTCGAGCGAGTTTTTCGAGGCAATCTGGGCTGTGGTCCAAAAATGAAGTCTCTATTTTTTGGTAGTGATCGTAAAATATTTACAGACGTATCCATTGAAAAATATGGAAAACAAGAAAATGCTTACGAACCCACTAAAAACTCTAAATACCAAATAAAAAGCAAATCTGTTGAAAAATGAGGCTACAATAATCACATTACATTAATACATTGAGATCTTAAATGGAGACTCCATCAAATTGTGGACCACTACCGAATATTTTTTTGGGAGGAAATAACCTATCCCTTGGGAAAAATTTAAACATTGTATATTCAGGGTGAGATGAAAAACTGCCACCAACTTCAGACTGCTGTCATTTCTAAGCCACTCGTCCGACAGCTATTAAACAGCATTATATTGTTTACAAGCGTACAAAAGCATTTTGGTGAGAATTTTCCAGAAAAAAGTTATTCGTGATGGAATTTAAGCGTGATGGTGTGATTTCTTTGTATTTGACTGGAAAACCACAAGTGGTTATCGTTGGAGCACTCCAGCATTTAAATTTGAATAAATCTTTTGTGTCTCGTACCATCGCTCGTTACCGTGATATTGGTAGCAGCGTAGCCCGACGTCAAGGAAGTGGACGGAAAAAACAACACCGTCAGCAGAAATGGTTCGAAAAGTAAAGAAGCGACTTGATCGAAACCCGCGTCCGCAGTTGCCGAAAAGCCACTTAACATATCGCAATATTCCATTTGGCGAATATTGAAAAATGAACTCGGGTCAAAGCCATTGAAATTTCAAAAAGTGCAAGAACTTACACCGCAACAGAACAAAAGAGCTATAGAGTTGCTTCGCCGAAAGTGGTGAACTGCCGAATTTGGTTTTCTCCGATGAGAAAACATTCGATGTCCAGCAGTTTGTAAATAAACAAAATTATCGTGTTTACTTGCCAAAGAGGTCAGCTGAAAATGTGCACCTTCGGTTGGCCACCAGAACTCAAGTGCCGGCCATGGTGATGGTGTCTCTGCTCGTATTAATCGACCGTGGCATCAGAATAAATGCCGAATATTATAGCGAAAATATTTTGGAGGGTGTAGTAAAGCCTTGGAAACGCAAACATTTGGCCGCAGACCTTGGACATTCCTACAGGACTCAGCACTAACATTTGAAGGCCATAATTCGTGCCAAAGGTGACCAATTTGAAGAAATCTAAACTTATTCTAAAATTTAATGCTATTTCCGACATTTTTTGCTTTCATTCAATAAAATTTAAAAAAAAATGTAAAAATTATGGCGTTTGACTTTCTTGTAGTTTTTTTTATCTCACCCTGTATAGTTTTATATAGGAGATATAGCAAAATTTGTACAGAAATCTTCGTCTTTAAATATGGTTTTCAATAGAGATATATCAAAACTTGAGGCTAAGTAGACAATCGTCTGATACAGTGGTTGGTATATATTGCAATTTATCAAATATTAAGGGTATCCATTGAAAAAATCATGAAAATGCTTAATACCTTGGGGTATATCAACTGGGAGTTATAGGAAAAAGTGGGCCTATATAAAAATTGTTCAGCCGCTCAAGATATAACCCTTCACGAATATATAGCAAATTTAGAAAAAAAAAATCTGTTAGAAAATGTAGTTGAAATCGTCAAAATACCGAGTATACTGAGGTAACGTCATTTTCACATAAGGTAGAACCAACTAGAAACTCTAAAATTCAAATTCGTTAAAAATGTATATGAAGGCTCCATCAAATTTTGGACCACATTTTTTTTTTTTTTGAGAAGTTGACATTTCCCTTGAAAAGCCGAAATATTAAATTACAGTCGAAAAAGAGGAAATTGATATGACCCACTTAGCTCATTTTCAATATAAATTATCGTAGACACAATGCTAACTATTATAATAAAATTTCAAAGCACTAAGTCAGACAGACAGACCGAGTGACGGACATCATTATGTCGGCTTAGAATTTTATGCTGATCATGAATACATATATGTTCATTGATTTAATCCGTTGAATATTTGGAGGTGTTACAATGGAAAGAACAATTAAATGGACCCTCTTTCTATGGTAGAGGGTATAACACAAATTAGGATCTACACTTTTTTCCGTTGTAGTTATACCCTCCACCATAAATAGTATGGAGGATATATTATGTTCGTTATTCCGTTGGTCACGAAATAGTTATTTTAGACCTAAAAAAGTGTATATATTCTTGATTAGCGTAAAATTCTAAGACGATTAAGCTAGGAAGCTAAAATTTTGCACAAATCAATCTTTTGTCTGCAGGCAGGTTCGAAAATGGGCTATATCGGTCCACCGTATCGTATAGCCCCCATACAACGGTACCCCCCGTTATTCAGTATTTTGACGATTTTGGCCAAATATTTAAATACAATTATCTGAAAATTCACAAAAGGAGTTACTCATGAGTAATTTACCTCTGGAAGTACTTTACACTATAGCGGTACCTCCCTATATTCGGTATTTTAATGATTTTAACTACATTTTTCAATGGAATTGTCTAAATATCCATACTAGAAGTTCTTTCTAAGCACTTTACCCCCCGGAAGAAAAATGTCTATATAGGTCCACGATATCATATAGCTTACATACAACGGTACCTCCCGATATTTGGTATTTTGATGATTTTTGCTACATGATTGATCGGAGTTGTTTAAAATTTCGTATTTAGAGTCATAATGGGAACTATAGTCTGTGAAGTTGAAGATCTTAATAAGTACTACTGCCTGTCACAGAATAATTTTCTATGTAGTCCAGGTCATCATATAGCCCCAATATAACAGTTCCTCCCTATATTCGGCATTTTGATGATTTTAGCTATATCATTCACCGGATTTTTTTATACCCTACACCACATAGTGGTAAGGGTATTATGTCTTTGTGCATTTGTTTGTAACATGGAGAAGCAAGCGAGATAGACCCATAGTTACTTTTGAGGATCTCCATAGAATCACATTCTGAGTTGATTTATGCATGTCAGTCCGTATGTCCATCCGTCCGACCGTCTGCCCATGTATTCTTGTGAACAAAATGCTGGTCGCATTTATTATTCGATTGCGATGATATTTTCCAAACAACATTTGTTTGGCCCAAGGACGAACCCTATTAAAATTGGAGATAATCGGTAAAAATTTATATATAGCTCCCATATATATCTTCGTCCGATTTGCCTTTTATTGTGCACCAAACGTGTAATATCAGCCCGAATATTATGGAAAATTTGCACATACAACCAAATTAGGCCTGAAAATAAGTATGCCAAGTTTGATCGAAATCGGTTCAGATATAAGTATAGCTCCCATATATATTGTTCATTCGATTTGTTATATTTGTCCTCCGCAGCCGTAATATGCACTCTGTAACAACAATATTTGGGGAATTATATAAAATACAGCTCAGAAATAAATTTGCTAACTTTTATCGAGATCGGTTCGGATTTGGATATAGCTCCCATATATAACTTCGTCCGATTTACCATTTATTGTGCACCAAACGTCTAATATTTGTCCAAAATGGGATGGAATTTGGCACATACGACCGAATTTAGTCTAGAAGCTAGTATGCCAAATTTGGTGAAGATCGGTTCAGATATAGCTATAGCTCCCATATATATTGTTCTTCCGATTTGTTGTATTCTTTACCCACAGCCGTAATATGCACTCCGTAACAACGATATTCAGGGAAATATACCAAATATAGCTCAGAAATATATTTGCCAAATTTTATCGAGATCGGTTCATTTTTGGATATAGCTCCCATATATATCAAATGGGCAATACAAGTCCGAATTAAAAAAAGATGCAAATGCTTCGACATATTTAGTCTTTTGAACTTTAAATTATAATTATAACCATAGCGTATATAATTGAATTCTCCCATAAAAACTTTTAATTGTTATGTGGAGCTCTACTAAATTAGCAAAGTGGTGTAGGGTATCATCAAGTCGGCCTCGCCCGACTTTAAGACTTTCTTTACTGGTTTTTTGATTTATTTATGCACACTGGTAATAATACTAAATTTTGTATGGAATCGAAACTATAGCTATTCCAGCAATAATACTCATTACAAATTCCGTTACCAACCCATTATTTTAGCAAAGGAATGGCACACGAAATAAGTAGTTTTTTCTCTGAAGAGTCAAAGTTGATTAAATAAATACTTATTCATCGAATTTCGTTGTCAGAAAATAACCATTTATTTTGTGTGACATTTCTTTGTTGAAATAATATGTTTGTAACCGCATTTGTATTAATAATTTTTACTGGGCATACTATAACCTTAGTTTCAATTTCAGTTAAAAACTCACTGTTTTTAAAAAAAGGAAAAATAAGAATTCCCTCACAAATAATTTGCCGCTTTTACGAAAGTTCACAGCAAATATTGCATAATTTTTTTTTTTTTTTTTTTTTTTTAGTTTATTTCTCCATGTTGTTGTTTTGTTTTTTAACTTTTAAGATAGACAGAATTTTCACAGACAATAAAATTTATCAGAAATAAATCTCACAGTTCTCGTATCACATTTTTTTCTCACAATTCGTTCGCCAAATACAAAGTGATCGTTCGCAGATGATAGAGTTTAATGACTCCTCAGAGTGTTTTTATTTTTGTTTGTCTCTCTAACAGGAGATATCAGTTTTTCTATTTTAATTAATAAAAATGTTTGTCATTTGTTTTCATTCATTTCAAAAATGAAAAAAAAGTTTTCTTTCACTAAATAAATATATAAACAAATTGGAATGAATTCAATACCGTTTTCATCCGTCATCTTGTAATCAGCCTTTCAGGGTAGAACAAAGTTTTTTTTTTTTGGAACTTTTGTCTATTATCCTTGCGCGCTTGTTATCCACATTCGCGTATAAATTTATTAACGATTACCAACAACAACAACAAGAAATTATGTTGAAGTCTTCGAACAGAACTTTGAGGATGTGTTTTTCTTTTTTTTTTGTGTAGCCGTTAGAACAGGGTTACGTTCCAGTTAAACGCGTCCTCGTCTGTTAACGGCAATTAGCAGACTAACTGAACTTCAATTACAATTTCAGTTAAGAGAGAACAAAGCCTCACTCACACTCTGACACTTGGAGTAAGTTAAACGCGATTAGTGGTGATATTGTATCATGTTGTTGTTGTTTTAAATATAGTATATGGAGGTACGACAACTGCAATCTTCACTTTTTTTTTGTTATCATCAATGTATTGCCATAAAACATCGAACTCGAAATCAAGAGCAATACAAGTACATTTACCAACAGGCTGGCGGACGGGCTGGCAGTTCGCAACACTTTTACTACCTCCGCTTTAAAGCCGAACAAAACCAAAAACGAAATAGAAGCATACCGGTAACTGGTTGGGTAAAACCTTACCTCCGCACACTGCTTTCTATCAGATAGATTTCGAATAAGTACACAGCTAAGATGTGATAACATAAATCGCTTATCAGTCGTTTTTTAGAATTTATGAGTAGAATTTTGGAGGGTTTTGCTCGAGCGAGCATTATTGAGTTATTGACGTTAACACGTTTGAAATGGAATTTTTCAAGGAGTTGAAGAGCAAAAAGTAAAAGTTTAAATCATGTGCTAAGTGGTGTGTAGAGGACATGTGAGAGATATAATCACAGGACTGAATCATTGGTATTTCAGATTGAAGTAAAAATTTATAAATTTTACAGTGAAAAATTTTTAGGTCCATATTTTGCAGGTGAGAAATTTCCAGTTTGATGCAGCTATTGGGGAAATAGAAAGATTACAATACCTAATGTGGACAAAATTTTTAAAGCAGATCATTTTTTATTTTATCACATACGACGAAACAGCTACATCTGACCAGATTTTCACAAAAAGTTCATACCTGCCGACAGTTGTATACCCTCAGCCGATGCATGTACATTTAACTATATTTTGACTTGCGTTATGGACACATTAAATATTACAACGTGCCAGATTTGGACTATATCGACTACTTCCCTTTATTTATATGTGATATGAGATGATTTTTGGAAAATATTGAAATATGCATGAGGTTCAAGATATAGTGGACCCAAGTGTTCCACTTCATTTAATGCTGATAAAAAATATTGGGATGTGGAAAATTTCTATAAAATTTAACACTTTTTTCCAATTTTATTTTCATCATTTGTACATATTTTTTAAATTTTATTGAATGAAAGCAAAAACTGTAGAAAATAGCATAAAATTATAGAAAAAGTTTAGATTTTTTCGAATTGGTCCCCTTTTGGTACGAATTATGACCTTCAAACGGCCAATGAAACCGTCACACGCTGCCCAAATGTTACTCCCGGCGAAGCGCTTGCTTGAGGTGATCGACACTTTGGTATTTTTTAGTGCCAACCTTGCTTTCCAAAATACTCCAGACACAATAGTCCAACGGATTGGTATCCGGAGATTTTAGTGGTTATTGTGCGCTGGAAATGAAGCGAGGCGTGTGCTGAATGCGATGATGCTGAGTCCTGTCCAAGGTCTGCGGCCAAAATGTTTGCGTGCCCAAGACTTTAATACACTCTCCAGAATATTTTCGCGATAATATTCGACATTTATTCTGTTGCCACGGTCGATTAATTCGAGAGGATAGCAATCATCGCCTGTAATGACGGCTTACACCATCGCCATGACTGGCGCTTGAGTTCTGGTGTCCAACCGAAGCTGCACTTTTTGAGCTGACCTCTTTGGAAAGTAAACACGATCACTTTGTTTGTTTACAAACTGCTGGACAACGAATATTTTTACATCGGAGAAAACGAAATTCGGCAGTTCAACACTTTCGGTCAAGCGAAGCAACTCTTTAGCTCTTTTGAGTCTATTTTCTTTATGTTGCGTTGTAAGTTCTTGCACTTTTTGGAATTTCAATGGCTTTACCCCGAGCTCATTTCTCAATATTTGCCGAATTAAATATTGCGATATGTTCAGCTCACGAGACATTTTTGGCCATTGCGATTAGATTTAGATTTAGTCGCTTCTTTACTTTTCGAACTATTTCTGTTGATGTTGCTGTTTTCTTACGTCCACTTTCTTGACGTCGGACTACGCTACCAGTATCACGGTAACGAGCGATGATGTGAGACACAAAAGATTGATTCACTTTAAAGGCTGGAGTGCTCTAACGATAGGCACTTGTGGTTTTCCAGCCAAATATAAAGAAATCACACTATCACGCATGAATTCCATCACGAATAACATTTTTTCCTGGAAAGTTCTCACCAAAATGCTTTTGTACGCTTGTAAACAATATAATGAGCTGTCACTGGAATAATTTTAACAGCTGTCGGACGAGTGGCTTAGAAGTGACAGCAGTCTGAAGTTGGTTACAGTTTTTTTCATCTCACGTGAATAAGTGCGTCGATAAATCCCAGACTCACATAAGATCTCTGGTTGAAAGGAATATTTAGAAATACCAAGTTTTGAATAGAAACGCTGATTTTTCTGCATGTCATATGATATATGATTATTTAAAAATGTGCTATTTTATGGGGAAGTACCAGAAGTGGTGAGCCGATATCTATAATTTTCATCCCAGATCCTGTGTTACAAAAGACAATTTGATGTGTGAAATTTGAGGAGAATTCTTTAGCATTTTATTAGGATTTTGGTTATTTAAAAATTTGATCATCTTCACATCAAATCTTGTGTTAGTAGAATATTGGGATGTGTGAACTTTAAGGAGATTTGAATGCTTATTTCGCATTTTATTAGGGATATAATTATTCAAAATGTTGACCCCTATGTGGGGGAGGTACTAGACAGATCTTGTGCATTGAGATGTAACAAGTTAAAAAACAATCAGATATTAATTTCGCATTTTATGAGCCTTCTGTTATTCAAAATTCTGTCCCCTTTGTGTGGGAGATACTAGAAGCAGTGGACCATCTTCCCACAAGACCTAGGGTCTAGAACCGTTATTTCAATATGTATCAAATGATACATACCCACTTGATATATACCCTTTTCATACCCTCTTAGGGTGTAAAAAGACGGTCTTACCAAATAGTATCGAAATCTGAATAAGTAGTCAGTGCTGGATTGCTGTATTTATTGAGGTATTAAATGCTTCTAATATCAAACTAGAGGATAAATGTTTATTCTCGAATTACTAAGTGTGAATATGAAATTGCGTACGATTTGATGATAGTTTTAACTTCTCAATATGTTTAGAACGCGAAATACTCAACTATAGGCGATATGGTCGTAAGTCTTTACTCTACGCTCAAAACCACACATCCTGTCACAAATATTGACACTTGTGTAAATGTTCATAGCTTTGTCCTAATTGTCCATCAAATACAAACTTTATACCTCGTTAATCTGTGTCGCATAACATCTTGATTGTGTAGTCAATAGTTATAAAAAAATTATATTTAGAAATATTATCGTTCAGTTTTGAAAATAGGTGTGGCAGTCAATTATAGCTATGTTTTTTAAAGGTATTAAAATAATAAAAAAATGTCTGATAACCATTTTTCACACGACAGCACGCGTATGAAGAATAAATATTTGCAGTTCTATGTTATATGAAATATTAGCTAGGATACAACTACAGAATCTTATAGGAAGACGTTACAGCAGACGAATAATTCACTTTCGATCATGAAAATTAAAACTATGAGAAATGATTAAAGGCATGTTTACGTTAGAGTTTTTCTTTCGGGTTAACCTTCTTTTTGAAGATTTTTAAAGGTATCTGCAATAAAAACCGACAGGGTTGAAAAACATAGAAAATCCCTTGCAATTTTAACGTACTATAAGATCACTTCTCTCTTTATTTTTACTACAAAGGAAACTGTAACCCTTTTAGTGCCAGAGCGGTTTCGACTAGAATTGCAACAGAACTCTATCTCAATTACATTCACCGCCCTTCTGCATTTGAAAACAAGCAAGAAAAGGCCAAAAGTCGGTCGGGGCCGTCTATATGATACCCAACACCACTATGTATATATAGTAGAGCCCGTAACAAAAGAATTTATTTGATGAAGATCATATTTGGTTTCAGAAGGAACTAATATATGGGAGGCATATCCAATTCTGAATCGATTATATATATACAGGGTGAAAAGTTTAGTTTATACATCAAAGGCTTGATTCTACACTGAATTCGGTCGGATGTGCCAAAATTCAGGTCATTTGGACTGATATTGGTCTTGGTGCGCAGTTAACCCGAAATCGGTTGAAGATATATATGAGATCTATATCCAAATCTGAACCGATCTTGATAAAATTTAGCAGAGGTTTTTCTGACCTGGTACCAAATATCATTCTTGTGGGGTGCATATTACTAATGTTAGGGGCTTAAACACCAAATCTAATGAAACATATATATGGGAGCTATAGTTATATCTGAACCGATTTTCGCCAAATTTGATGTACTTGCGGCTAAACTGAATTCAGTCGGATGTGCCAAATTTCAGATCATTTGGACTGATATTGGTCATTTAGTGCACAATTAACCCGGAATCGGTTGAAGATATATATGGGAGCTATATCTAAATTTGATCTGATTTTCATCAATTTCAATAGGGCTCGTCCTTGGGCCAAACAAATATTGTTTGCAAAATTTCATCTCAATCGGATAATAAATGCGATCTGCATTTTGTTCACAAAACTACATGGACAGACGGACGGACGGACATACATGCATAAATCGACTCTGAAAGTGATTCTATGAAGATCCTCAAGAGTAACTATGGGTCTTTTTCGCTTCCTTCTCATGTTACAACCAAATGCAGACATGACAAGACATGATACCCTTTCCACTATGTGGTGTAGAGTATTATGTCTTTGTGACTGCCAAGAAAGATAGAAGGAGATTTCACCATATCACCCTGTGAATACACCTTAGGTATCACCTTACTGATTAACCTTATATTGGTATCATGTATAAAACGATATGTTTTATATATATCTTTCATTCAAATGTCAACTGCAAATAACTAATGAATGAATTTCCCAAAAAAAAAATATATATATCAACGGATGTCAATTCTATAAAATATTCAACAAATAATCCAAACGATATCAG